CAAATCCAGATTACTTCCGCTGATCTGGGTCAGCGTTTGCCTCAGCCACAAATTCAGGATATCCTGGATTGGCCCCTCTCGCCCCAACCGCTATCGCGAGGTACTCAATCACCTCATCATCAGCAGGACAACGCCAAGGACGCTCGTGACAAAACTGGGCCAAGCAGCCACCAGTCACCCACGTAGCACCGACTCAACCATACATTCAACCCATTCCGTCCCGTAACACTCTGTCCCCCCCCCCCCCCCCCCAGGCAGCGCCCGGCCAGTCAGCCCCCACCAGACGCGGCGTCGGCGGTCGGTGCGCGCGCAGCCCCGGTCAGCTATTGATTGGCGAGCGCCGTGAGGCGGCCGTCCGCCAGAGGTCGCCAGAGCGCCAGCGGGGCACCGCCGCCGACCCGGCGGCTCCAGCGGGGCGCAGTGTCGCGATGAGCCCGCCGCCGCCGCCGCCGGCCCGCCGCCAGTGACTCGACCCCGGCCGCCGAACACGCGCGACTGACGCGCACGCCGCGCAGAGCGCGCGCCGCTGCTGCCCACCGCACGGCCGACGTCAGGTAAAAATACCCGCCCGCCCGCCGGGGCGAGCGAGCCGCTGCCGCCGCCACTGTGCTGAGGCGAGGTGCTGAATGGTGCTGCGCCTGGTGATGGGGGCATGAGGTCAGACGGAGTGCGTCGTAAACACAGCCCACTGCTGCGGCTGGGCAGACGGGCGGCTCGGCCGCAGCGGCATCAGCTTAGGACATATCGTATGTAACTTGCATATAGCAGCGTGTCAGATACTGATGGAGGCGGGCGCCCTCACTCCCGCATCCTTACAATTGTCACAATGGAGTTTTTATCAGCTTTAGTTCTGTATTACGCACTATTCGTCGTTGGGGCGAGTGACGGAGTAGCCACCTGTCCACGACCGGGGGAGTGCTGAGAGTGGAGGCTACAGCCTTGCAGTGGAACCCCTTGCAATGATGCAACCTTGCAGTGCTGACTTACAACCTTGCAGTAGATTCAGTGCATGGTCGGCAATACACGGGACAATAATATAACAACCCCGCCCTCCAAGGCTGGTGACGGTTTAGGTGCTGGTGCGTCTGCCTGCAGCTGCTCTTCCTTGAAGCTGGTTAGCTGCTTGATACCTAGGCCATCAATCAGAGGTCATCCGAACTTCTGTCGTTCTTAGTGCATGGCAGTGAGCACCGTGACAAAAACGGAACAAATTGGCGAGCACAACCATCTGTTCTGTTTGATTTCCCACCACATGATTCGTCAGGTAATTCGTGCATGACAGTGAGCACCGTGACAAAGACGGATGGGTTAGCGAGCATAACCATCAGTTCTGTTCAATTTCCCACCACACGATTTGTCAGGTGATGCGTTTTGAGTGAATCACGCTGGCTGGTCTTCGACAGCCATGCCGTCGGTGCCCCAATGCCGCTGCATAGGAATCGGCCGTTCGTTTACACAGGATATCTTCCGACGATACGGCTGGGGCAGGAAAGGCCGATTGAAAGCGGCGCAGCTGCCAGCTGTGTGCCGGGGCCCGCCTGTTGCTCTGCGTCAGCTCCCCGCGGCTCTGGTCCTCATGCTCAGCCAGTGCCTCGCCTCTTCCAACCTATCGCTGATCAAGGGCGAGCCGCGCTACACGGCGGCACGGCGCTGACATACACGCCGTTTCCGCATGTATAGACACGGTTTGAGTATATATTATGGCGTCTATCGTAAATCACCCTCAGCGTTCCCCTTTGCTGAAGGCTTTACCAGGGGGTCTCGTTTTGCCGAAAGCGCGTGATCATACCCGTTTTGACACGACGGTGAACAACGTTGAGAAATTGCAGGAAGCTAGCGATTCCAGTCATGAGTAGCATACCCCACGCACGTAAACAAGACGTGAAAAGGAAAAAGAGGTAGGTATGTGCATATATAGAGATGTAAGTGTTCTCATCTTTGTATATATACATTATATATATATATATATATACTTACAAACATATACACATATATGTACATATATGTACATATATATATATATATATATATATATATATATATATATGTGTGTGTGTGTGTGTGCGTGTGTGTGTGTATATATATATATATATATATATATATATATATATATATATATATATATATATATATATGACCATTACCGCAATGTCTGTTGTTGTTTTCAAAATGTGTGCGTGACAAAAAGTTCCCTCCGCAGTCGCTCTTATCACGAGCGAGGTCACAGGCCAAATGAGCAGTACATGAACCACGATATGATTACTAACTTTAGCGGCCGATCCGTCAGGCCAGTCGTCACACTTTCTGCCATCTTTGCAAAGCCTGATCGCAGGCTGTTACAGGCTTCCGCAGCAATAAACACAATTCCTCAAACGTTGTTCCACATGAGTTGCTAGGTTTGAGCTTGCGAATGGGTCGATCGGCTAGATTTCCGTGTAACGTTGCAGTACCATCGCAATTTTAATTGCCCTCATTATGAACGCGACAAGTATCGTATAAATTTTCCAGTGTACAGAGGCCGAGGAACATGGGCCAAACCTGGGCGCAGAGCTTGACGACCTAGAGTCCTAACGATACAGACCTTATATATTATGACGGAGAAGAGAAGAGACGCTCTCGGGCGTTTGTGCCCGTGTTTGTGGTTGCGGGCTTTGATGTCAAATGTTGACAACAGTGGATACATGGGTGAAGCCAGCTGGTTAGTGTAAGTCCATGCACCGTCTATAAATCACTGAGCGGTCTTAACACGGTTCGACCATAGGTGCATCAGCACCCCTGAGGGCTGCCCTGAGAAGGGACCTTTGCACGCAAACAAATGGTCTGGCATTTCCCTGCAGGAAGTCAGTGACAGTTAATGACAAATCTTAGTGTTGCACCAACTTTTCGATCGTTACAGCTGTACGAAGCTTGACGTTGTTCTATCCTATCGTTTGAAAGTCAGCCGGGGGAACCCCTGGAGGGTCAAATTGACGCTTTCCACTTCCACCGAGCATACGTTAAACAGAGAGAAGTAGGGCCGTGACAACTACAAAAAGTGTGTCGTTTATCGTTAACAATATCCACCCAAATATTGACGCTTTGCAATACATCAGTCACAGTTTCCAAAAACATGGTCGTTCAAAATTTCTTGACTTCGTCTGTCGCAAATTCTAGACCTCACCAGGCCTGAAGACGACCAGTTTCGACGCATGGTTATTTACGCACACATACGCGCAAATGACAAACAGCATTGTACTTATCTGACCGCCAAACTCATGAAGAGACTGCTTCACTAAAGCATCCTGTGTAAGTCCCAAAGGTAACCGGCATCATTTAAGTTACGTTTGACGTACAGTATATTCACGTCTTTATCGCCTTCCTGGTCTTCCTCCCGAAAAGGCGTTCTTCTGGCGTATAAATATAATAGTTTGTTAACCTCGGGTATACGCTAAGTAGTCCGATAACAGTAAAATATGTTTGAAATTCGGATTAGGGTCGGAAGACGTCCTTTGGGAACACCCACTCCCGTAATACTTGCGCTCGGAAGGTGTGCTTACTCCCGTAAGACCTAATACGTGTCTTCCCGGCGGTGCCCGTCTATCGAGTCAATTATTCAAGCCGCGAGAGGCCGTGGCGCATAGCAGATCCCCCGAGCAGGATAGGGCCAGCTGTGCTAGGATGAAAGGACGGCCAGGCGACCTGGCGGCCTCTAAGCCTGACACGTTGCACAGCCACATGGCTCAACGGCATTGGCTGAACTAGGCTGTCCGGAACCTGCCCAGCTCCGGCGCCCGTTATGGCCCTCAGATAGACGCGGCACGACACCGGCCGAGGACCGTTGAGCAGCGTGGAGAGCGGGGAGCGGCGATGGAGGGGTGAGTGGCGCCTGTATGATGAGAGTCACGCCTGTATGATGAGAGTCATTACTCACGCATGGTCACGGGCGGTGCAGCTAGGGTGCGGGGACTGGCTGGGACTTGGCAGAGGGGTTGCCGCCCCCTTGACATTTAAGACGGGGGCAAACAAATATTTTTGCCTCCTTTAAATTTCAGAAGGCTCCATCATGGCGACAGGGTGCCCAGATGATCAATAGAGAACATTCCTTGCACTGGAAATGGACCCGGAACTAACTAACACATGCCTTCGAAACGTGGGCGAAATCCGAACAAAATTGCTTTGATAAAGGTTGGGACAGGAGGCACTAAGTTTTGACACCTTTCAGGAACAGATGGTGGCGCCACCCCTGTCAGTGGCATAAGAACAAACTCGGAACCCCTCACCCGATAACAGAAGAACAACGTTCGGTTTTCCTAGCGTAGGCAGTCTAGGAGAATGCCTTCCGACGAAGGGTCCCCCGAGCGTGCGTATTCTATGCAGCAACTCTTCATAGAGTTAGTCTTCCTACAGTTCGCGGAGAAGGTCTTCCAGCAAAAGACTTGCGTGCGTATATTTGCGTACGTTTATTATATTATTGCGTACGTGTTCTATGCAATAGGCCATTCAGGAATAGGTCTTCCGGGCTGACCCTGGGCATGACTGCTGCCGCAGCGTTAGTAGGAGGCACAGCAGATCGCCTGTCTGGAGAGAGGACGGCCATGGCTCCGCTGTTGCAGAAATGCAGTGCCGCTGAAGAGAGCGCATGAGACGGGTGTGGGAGCCCGAGGCGGGCCGGCCCGCCTGGTTCGGAACGCGGCGTGGGATGGCGCTCGCTCGCCGTCTTCTAGCCCTCCACACCGACCAGCAGCGTGGTCTGCTGCAGCAGCTGGTCGCGGACCCGTCGTGCGTCGTGCGACGCGTTCAACAGCGGCGGCTACCCCGTTCGCGCGGCGATAATCTGTGCTATATCGGTGACCCGCGGATAAAAATGCCACTGTGGGGCCGGATCCGAATCGGATCCGGGTCTGGTCGACACCCCTCACGCCACGCGGCGGCGACGCGGCCGGCGGGCGCGGCGGGCGTGACTGGGGGCTGAACATGATCCGGGTTCGGTCGACACTCCTCACGCCACGCGGCGGCGACGCGGCCTGGCCCCGCGGGCGGGCGCGGCGGGGCGTGGGACTGGTGCTGACCATGATCCGTTTCCGCGACACTTCTTCACGCCACGCGGCGGCGAGCGCGCGGGCGTGACTGGGGGCTGACATGATCCGGGTCCGGTCGACACTCCTCACGCCACGCGGCGGCGACGCGGCCGGCGGGCGCGGCGGGCGTGACTGGGTGCTGACCATGATCCGGGTCCGGCCGACACTCCTCACGCCACGCGGCGGCGACGCCGGCGGCGTGCTGGGTGGGCTGACATGATCCGGGTCCGGTCGACACTCCTACGCCACGCGGCGACGGACGCGGCCGCTTCCGGCGGGCGTGACTGGGTGCTGACCATGATCCGGGTCCGGCCGACACTCCTCACGCCACGCGGCGGCGACGCGCGGCGGGCGTGACTGGGTGCTGACCATGATCCGGGTCCGGCCGACACTCCTCACGCCACGCGGCGGCGACGCGGCCGGCGGGCGCGGCAGGCATGACTGGGGGCTGAACATGGCAGCTGTTGAATGAAGAGCAGGCCTTCCAGGCGTTGGTC